TGGTGACTAGTCACTGCCAGGGCCAGGATAAGACTTTGCATCTCTGATCTTTCTTGGCTTGTGTAAAGAGAGATGTGAACTCCTTCTGCCTGTTTCTACTGCATAGAACTTTCTGCAGAGGATGTTCTAAAATGATTTCGATAGTAGAACTAAGCTTGACAGTTTAATCAAGACTATGATACAGGATGAAAGAAAGGAGGGTGTGTAGGAATTTGGATAGAGAAAATATATTTTTATAGCTTATGATTATAAAGTTTTAAAAAGGTATTAACCTGACTCACATTGTCTACATTAAAAAAAAACCAAAAAAAAAAAAACAACCCACCCATTTAATAGCCAACCAGGTAATAAAACTCAGGGTTCAGTTTTCAAACCCCAGCAGTATTATATAGGCTTGCAAACACAAAACTCTGATTTTGTTCTCACTAACTTTCAAGGATGATCAGGCAGATTGAAAAAGGGAGGAGAGATTTCTCAAGCAGAGAGGATAATCGCATGCCCTTCTGTATAACTTATTTTTATTTTCAGTCTTGCCATTGACTTACTATGTGACCTTGAGTGAGTCATTTTATCTCCATGTGGCAATTTTCTCATTTGTAAAGTTGGATAATAAATACTACTTTCTGTCTCTCTCCTGGGTGATGTTATTATCACCATCAGTTAATATTTATTGGATGCTTGTTGGTCGCATAATGCTGAGGTAAGCACTTTGTTCTGGGAGGTGGAGAGAGGTGCCGGAGGAGATTATATGAGTAAAACATTTCCATGAGAAAAAAAAAAAAAAAAGATTTACAAAAGACAATTATTAGAGCTTAAAATAGCTTGGGCTTATATTTTAAAGCATACTTCTCAGCCAAGATTGATGTAATAGCAATGTTTTTCTTAGCAACTGTACAATGCACTAGGATAATGATGCAGAATACTGGTTTTACTTTTGCATGATTCTAAATAAAACTATCTTGAGAATGATTATGATTTTTTTCATCTGTAAATTATATCCTAAGCATAATTTGTTTCAAAATATTTATTTGATATTGAGAGTATCGAAATTGCTTTACCTAGCCATTCCCTTTGTTTAAAAAAAAAACAAAAAAACACACCAACTTTTAAAAGCAAAGTTAGTGCACAAAAGTGTAGAACACTTTTGATTCAAATGTAATAAAGAGAAATCTGAAAGTCACCTATGGAAAGTCACACATTTCATCTGAAACCAAAAATGTAATACTGGTCAGTCCATACTAGTCAGCCTAAATGATTGGAAATTTCCAGTTCCCTCCCAGTCCATTTTGTCTTTCTATCCCTCTGTCACCTACTTACCTCTTGTCTGGATTATTCAAAGGGCCTCTGACCTTGTTTCTTTCACTCTAACTCTCTTCCTTTTACCAGCTACTCTCCATAACACTGACAGAGGAGTTGTCAAAAGTAAATCTATGAATGGATAAACAAAATGTTGGCATATACGAAATAAAATAATTATCCTTAAGAAGGAATGAAAGGCTGACTGACATATGCCACACCATGGATAAAACTTGAAGATATTATACTTTGTGAAATAAGTCAGACACAGAAAGACAAATATTACAGGATTCCCTTTATCTAAGGTCCCTAGAATAAACCAACTTCTGGAGATACAAAGTAAAAAAGTATTTACCAGGGGCTGGGGGAGAGGACCATGGGAATTATTGTTTAAGAGTAGAGTTTCTATCTCAGATACTAAAAAAGTTCTAAAGATAGTGGTGATGGTTGCACAACATTGTGAGTGTACATTGTGAGTGTACCACTAAAGTGTATACTTAAAAATGCTTAAAATGGTATATTTTATTTATGTATATTTTATCACAATCAATTTTTTTTATTTATTTTTTTAGTAAAACTGGTCCTGATCATTTTCTGGCACATAAATCATCATTATTTACAGACTAAAGCCCAAAGTCCTTGGTATGACAGTAATAATCTTTCAGAATCAAGCTCCAGATTATAGTTCCAACATTATCTTTAATACATCTATACCAACAGTTACCTTCGATCACACTGACAAAGTGAGGGTCATTGAACCTGAAACTTATCTTGCTCCTCTGCTCTGAGCTCTTTATCTTCTTCGGCCTCGAATACATGCTCTTTGCTGTCATTCCTTCCTCCTAGCTGTGAAACCTTACATATTCTTTGATGCTCAACTCAAAACTAATTTCTTTATGTAGCCTCCATGCAATATTCGAATTATCCACTCTCCCTTTTGAAGGTCTAATCACAATATATCTTCCTGTAATTATTTATAATATGAATATGAGTGCCTTAGAGGCAAAAGGTTTTTACTTGTTTTTGTTGATTTGTTTGTTTATTTATCTTTCCATGCAGTGGTGATTATCAGAGAAGCTGTCATTTTCAATAGGCACTCATTTGGAACCAGAGGTTACTGGATTGGCAAGTTAAACTACAAATAATAGGGCTAATAATTAGAACCCTGTTTAGTGCAGTGTTTTTCATCCAGTTGAAATAAGGGTGAGGCAAGTGGCAGTCTTATGGTACATTTGCATGACCCTGAGAGTGAGTTCCTTCTTATTATTTGATGCCTAGGGGCCTCACTTGCCTTATCCTAGTCTCAATTCTGTTGATTAGCAGTTTCCGTGATATAAGTAGGTGCTTATAATGCATTGCATTAGTTATCTATTATGGCTTTCCCCAAGCCTTATCAGCTTAAAACAATCAACATTTATTATTTCACAGTGTCTGAAAGTCAGGAATTTGTGAGTGGCATAGGTTGATGATTCTGATTTAGGATCTCTCATGAGGTTGTAGTTAAAGATGCTAGTGGGAGCTGTCCTTATCTGAGGGCTTGACTGGAGCAAAAGCATCAGATTCCCAGTGCCTGGCTTACATGGTTGTTGGTAGAAGACTGACTTCCCTTAGGGCAAGGGATCCAAGAAGAGGGCAAGCCAGAAGCTATAAGCTTTTATTTCCTAGCCCCAGAAATCACACACTGTGATGTCATACATTATGCACACACTGGTCAGCCTTACTAAATGAGAGAGGTGACCACCCAGAATATGAATACCAGGAGGCAGTGATCTTTGGGGACAATCTTAGAGAATGGCTCCCATCACCGTCTGGTTTGACTGCATTGAACTAAATTATCTAGCAGCAGGCAAGATTTCTGACATCTGTTACTAAAATCTTCTGAGGTTGACTTTTGTCTTTTATTTTTAAATCATTGAATAATTAAAGTTGCTAACATTTTATAAATGAAGAATGTGTCTGAATCATTTTTCAATCCTGCATTAGTAGTAGTGTTTTGCATCTAGAGGCAGCCTGATTGATGTATAGTATCCAGAGAGGCTGTCATTTTCAATAGACACTCATTTGCAACCAGAGGTTACTGGATTGGCAAGTTAAAGTGGAAATAATAGGGCTAATAATCAGAACTCTGCTTAGAGCTCAGGCCAAGCTTGGAAAAGCATGCATTCATAGAGAATGTGTAAGTAACTGTTGTTTCTTTTTGTCTATAATGCATGAGACTTTTAATATTATTATTACTGGTATATGGCTCCAAGTATTCCTGGCTCACAATCATAATATAGTGCAGTAGCTCTGAAGGGATAATTTCATCTCTGCCTCTCACTGGCTGTGTGGCCTCCAACATATTTTTTTAAGTTTTTTATGACTTAGTTTCTGTGTCTCCAAAATGAAATGATTGACAATGCTATTTCTTAGGTTTGTTGTGAGTATTAAATAAGGTAATTCAGCTAAAGAATTTAGCACCATGCTCAATAAGTGCTAGCTAATATTGTTAATATTTGTGTGTATATATTTGTTTTCAGAGATTTGTCTTATAGATTGACAATGACTTTTGCTCTCATTATTCCAACATTTAAAATGAAAAGTCTTGTCCCTTCTCCCATGAAGCTAATTTAATATTTTCTTCAGGAATAGGTTAAGCAATTTCTTGACCATGAAAATATCTGTTTGTGTCCCAAAACCCTAGTGCTCAGTAATATAAGCTTCTCCAAAACTCTCTTAGCCCAATTCTCTTATATTCTCTTGTTTTGTATCTTAAGCTTTTCCTTTTTCTTTTCTATAGAGAAATTTCATACCTCAAAACTCACTTACCCCGATCCATACAGAGTATTTGTCAATAGATATCTGTTGAATGATGAATCTGTAGAGTGCTTAACATAACAAGCTCACAATTAGATTTGTAATAAATACTTCTTTATCACAAGCAATAAACAGACTGTATTGTTACATATAGGTGAAGATTGTGTGTTTTCCTTTTTATTTATTCAACTTATAACTCTGAACCTTATTGTGTTTTCTTTAAGAATAAAAACACAATATAGACTGTTAAAATTTCAAGGTCTTAAGGAAGTTTAGATTTTTAAAATAATCATCTTTTTTTTTAAATCCTGAAATGTGAAGGAGATAGAAAACATAGGTCTGTTTGACTTAATGATGGCTTTATTGATATTAACAATTTTAAGTATGGTGCCAGATTTCTGAGCAATCTACTTTAAACGGAAAGATATGTTCTATTTTAGAAGGCTTGTTGACTGCCAGGGTTGAGCCAGGTAGTATATATTTATTAATTTTTCCAATTCTAATGGCAATTCAATGCTATTTTGTTACTGTGTTGTTATTGTTTTAATTATACCATTTTGCATATAAGAAAACTAGAGCTCAGAGAAATCAAACAACTTGCCTAAAATAGTGATAGGGCTGGAATTTGATTCTATGGGCTCCCATGCAGGTACAGAAGTTCTGAAAATCTCTATCCACCACACAGCACCAGCTTTCATGCTGTGCTGTATACAACTCACACAGAGTGGTGTCAGTACAATGGTGGCAAAGGACTAAGGAGCAGCCACCTCCCTCCAGGCAAAACTTTTCCAAGGTTTCCTTCTTAGGTGCCCATTTTCCCAGGACCACAGCTGCGTCTCTTTAAGAGGAAACTTTGAGATGTAAACTGCTGCCCTAAAAGATGCTGTGCTCTGTACTCTGAATTACAGGAGCATTGGCAGCGCCATTTTTGTTGGAAGATCCAGCAAACCAGTTCCTACATCTCAAAAGACACATATATTTGCAGGATTACTGGGACCCAGATCATAGTCCGAATACGTGGGAACACACACTGGCTGATCAGGTATTTGCATTTAAATAGGCATCACATCAGCTGGCTTTAACACACCACTAACCTAGTCCTGAGTTTTCCTCTCCATCTGCCATGAACTATACCTGCCTTTTCCTCTCCATAAAATGACTTTCGTCTGGTGAACTCCACATCTACTTTCAAAACTAAGATCAAATGTCTACTTTCTGATGCCTCTCCCTGCTTTCTGAGGTGGGGGGGGGGGGGGGGAGAGGGCATTTGTCCTTCCTTTGTCTCTTCCTTTGCATGCTGCTCACTTGTGAATAGCTCACAAAATGTCACACTGAAATTATTTGTTTCATGCACCCAACCTTCCTACTTAGGCTACAAAGGTAAAGTGCAAGTCTTCTACACCAAAATAATTATTCTCAGGAGCTACTAAAATGACTGTTATGTAGTCAAGTCTCAATAAATTATTTCATTCGGGTAGGTGGATGGATGGATAGCAGTCACATTTTAGTTCTCTCTCAGTTGTTCAGCCGCTAACTTCCCTCTGTTATAATTACCCAAGCCTTTAATGTCATTTCATTTGCTTGTCTTTTTTACATTTTCCTATTCATTCTAAGAAAAATAAAAAAGAAACTTGCATTCACCAGTTTTATTTCCTCTTTTTGATGGAAGAACACTTTGAAACTCCAGGCCAAATGAAATTGCTAAATTATCTGAAGATTTCAATCAGTCACGATTTCCTTCAGTCATGACTTCCCTCTTACAACTCAGCGATTTAGAAAATGAGGATGTATAGCAAATAATTCCTTCACTGATTTGTTCTTTCTTTCCACATGTATTAGATTTTCACTACTACCATGTATAAAATCACCAAAACCGATTTGGCTCAGTGGATAGAGCATCAACCTGCGGACTGAAAGGTCCCAGGTTCGATTCCGGTCAAGGGCATGTACCTTGGTTGCGGGCACATCCCCAGTAAAAGGTGTGCAGGAGGCAGCTGATCGATGTTTCTCTCCCATCGATGTTTCTAGCTCTCTATCTCTCTCTCCTCCTCTCTGTAAAAAATCAATAAAAAATATATTTAAGGAGGATCGAAGATAGCTGCGCTCAGGTAACACCTAGCCGCAGCCGCACACAACAATTTCAATAAAATACAACTAAAATATAAAATGCACATTACCCAGAACTACAGGAAAGTCGACTGACTGGAAATTCTACAACGAGAAGCAAGGAGTAAACCAGAAGGAAGCGCGGAGGAGCTGGAAAAGCCCAAGGTATGGAGACGCGCGGCCTGGAGAGGATGGAGCCGGAGAGGACGGAGGCCGAGTGCCTGGCGGGCATTCCCTAGCGGGAAGGAGATAAAACTCCGACTGTGCTGGGCCACATTCTGACTGCTCTGAACCCCAGGCCTAGGCCAGACCCCGGGGACCCAGGCTCACACAGAGGGAGCTGGGCTGCAAGGCGGAACTCCGGGGAAGCGGCGAAAGGAGTGCACACAGTGCATGCAGAGAAGGGACGGCGGGCTGTGCCACGGGATTGCCTGGCGGGAAGGAGACAGGGGCACCAGTCTGCTCTGAACGCCACCTCCAACTCCACTTCCAACTGAACTGAACCCCAATACCGGGCTCATTGGGGGAGAGCATTGACTGTTTGGCAGCAGGCGAAAATCGAGGGCACCTATCTCTCAGAGGCGCCAGCAGCGAGCACTGAAGGACCCGCATAGGGAGGGGCTGACGGAAGCCAAGGCTGCAGGCTCCACCCTGAAACTCCGCCCCATCTGTAGCTGCGAAATGCAACAATGAAATAGATCACAAACGAAAGAAATGGAGGACAAAAAGCGGCTGGATATAGAGTTCAAATCTACGCTTATAAGGTTTTTCAAGAATTTCCTAGAAAAGAAGGATAAGACTTATGAGGATATGAAAAGAGATCAACTAGAATTAATAAGGAGTCAACAAGAAATAAAGAATACATTGTCTGAAATAAAAAATATTATACAGAGTCCTAAAAGCAGAATGGAAGATTGCAAGAATCAAGTCAAAGATTTGGAGCATAAAGAGCCAGAAGACACCCCTCCACAGAAGCTAGAAGGCAAGAGAATCCAGAAAATTGAAGATAATGTAAGAAACCTCTGGGAAAACTTCAAGTGAACCAACATCAGAATTATGTGGGTCCCAGAAGATGAGAAAGAGCAAGATATCGAAAACATATTGAAAAAAATAGTGACAGATAACTTCCCCCACCTGGTGAAAGAATTAGACTTACAAGTCCAGGAAGCGCACAGAACTCCAAACAAAAGAAATCCAAAGAGGACCACACCAAGACAAATCATAATTAAAATTCCAAGAGCAAAAGACAAAGAAAGAATATTAAAAGCAGCAAGAGCAAAGAAGGGAGTTACCTATAAAGGAGCACCTATACGATTGTCAGCTGACTTCTCAACAGAAACCATGCAGGGCAGACGGGAATGGCAAGAAATATTCAAGGTGATGAATAGTAAGAATCTACAGCCAAAGATAATCTACCCAGCAAAGCTATCACTCAAAATAGAAGGTCAGATAAAGAGCTTCACTAATAAAAAAAAGCTAAAGGAGTTCATCACCACCAAACCAGAATTATATGAATTGCTGAAGGGGGTTCTTTTGGAAGAGAAAGTAAATAAAGATAAAAATTATGAACAACAAATACGTAACTATCAAGCGAATCCAAAAACCAAGGAAATTAAAAAAAATCTGATGAACAATATTAACGGTTGAATATAATAGAGTCAGAGGTATGGAAGGGGAGTGAACTGACGATTCTTGGGGAAAAGGGAGAGGGGGATGTGGGAAGAGACTGAACATAGACTGTGCACCTATGGATGGGAACAATGGGGAGTGGGGAGGGGGTGGAGGATGGGGTGGGAATCTGGTGGAGGAGAGCATGGGGAGGGGGAGAAGGAACATTTGTAATAATATGAACAATAAAAACTTATTAAATATATATATATATTTTTTTTTTAAATAAAAGTTGTATAAAATAATTATAGGCCTAGCCAGTTTGGCTCAGTGGATAGAGCATTGGCCTATGGACCAAAGGGTCCCAGGTTAGATTCTAGTCAAGAGCATGGTTGTGGGCTCCTCCCTGGCCCAGGCCCAGGAGGCAAACAATCAATGTGTTTCTCTCACATTGATGTTTCTCTCTATCTTTCTCTCTCTCTTACTCTCCCTAAAAATCAATGGGATAATATCCTTGGGTGCAGATTAACAACAAAAAGATAGATAGATAGATAGATAGATAGATAGATAGATAGATAGATAGATAAAATCATTGTAAAAGTTGAATTTCTGTGTTTTTCCTGAGGCTTGGGTCCTCTCCTTACTCCAGATAGCGGGGTTTTAACTGGTCTAGCAGGATCAGCTTGGTTCTGCTTAGCATTTGCTGATGGAAACCAGCAGCTTGAATAATGCATTTGGTTTTATGTCTGTTTTATTCCTACATGCATAATCTAGAGGTATTAAAAAAAACTTCATTTATTTGGCAAATTAAATAATTACATAGACTGGAAGGCTGTGTCTTCCTTACGGAATATTCAAATTTTCAAATATACTCCTGACTGTAATTGTAGATCTGTGCTGTGATCAACTGACAGATCCTGTAATGTACCATGTACCATGGCCCTGTGAATACTAAACACATTTCATCAGTGAAGTAAACAGATAACTAAAAGTGTGAAAAACCAAACCTTACTTGGAATTATTCTTCTACTGTATTTCTCTCAGTCTTTTAGAAAATATCTATATGATAATCGGAATAATTGATACCCATGTTCTACACACTCAGAGATCATGACTTGAGTTTCCTTTTATTGCAGGCTCATGAAAAATGGAATTCTTTGAAGACAACAGCACAGTATTATCTGAATGTGAATCCCTTCACTTCTGACATATCTACTACCCAATAAATGTGCTTTGCTGGTTAAAGCAGGATAACAAAAACAGTGGGAGTACCAGAACCACGGCTTTGGCGAGCTGAAGACAAATGCTTGTCACTTACTAGATTATTTATTATGTCTGTCTCACAGAGATTTTGAACAAAGTAAATATGGAAATTTATGTAGTGACCTAGAATTCAAAGTTCTCTGTAAATGGTAGATAAAATGAGAACTAAAATTAAAAAGACTGTATTAATAACATTTATCAAAAAGGTCTTTTATTGAAAAAAATTTTTAAGCCGTATCATTAAAATTCTCTGTTCATAGCTATTGCTTTCTATTTCCTCTTCTTTGTTAGTTTACTTTTTAATTCAAGGAAGAGGGATTTCTCAAATGGAGCTGGTTCTCTCCTCTTCTCTTCAATATTTGTCACTGTCTAAAGCCAAGCTATTTTAAGACCATACTTCTGAAACTTTTTTCATCTAAGGTGTATTACTGAGAGCAGTAGAAAATAAAATCTTAACTCATATTAGGGAGTAGATGGTAATTAGGATCCCACTGAAAGCCACTCATCTACATAAATATCAACTTCCTCAGAAGTTTTACCACATGTCTGCAAATTTGTATTCTACTCCATAATATACGGTTCATGTTTATTTTACTATAAAATAACAGATTTGGCTTACTGGCCAGGAATATTTATTGATCTTTTAAAATAAAACTAAAAAATATGACTCTAAAGAAGAGTGTACTACACTTATCCTATAGTTTTCCATCATGAAATACCACCTCAGAATTCTAATTTGAGAAGTACTAAGGAGATGATGATACAAGCAAATCACCAAGGTTCCCCCTCTCCCCCAACTCACAGATAAATGAACATTTTGTCTCCAAAAGTGTATTTCTAAATGTATACTTAAGTCAATTGTTTTCTTGGCAGGGGGAAGGGTGACAGGTGGAAGGATTCATTTGGGAAATAGAAGCACTTTTCAGCAGAGGGTATATCGGTAAAATCAGATGCCAGGAAGCTGCACAGTAAAGATTTGGGCCAAGCACTTTTGTCTCAAAGAGGACACTGGCAGCTAGTAAGGATTCCTCATTTCCTATCCTAGTTCCTAGAAATGTTTTCAGTGAGAAATTGATAACTAAGGCATAATCTATTATGTTAACCATTATCCACTTATAATCTATTATGATATTTTTTTAAATATATATTTTTATTAATTTCAGAGAGGAAAGAAGATGGGGAGAGAGATAGAAGCTTCAATGATGACAGAGAATAATTGATCAGCTGCCTGCGGCACGCTCCCTACTGGGAATCAAGCCCAAAACCCTGGCATGTGCCCTGACCTGGAATTGAACTGTGACCTCCTGGTTCATCGTAAGTCAATGCTCAATTACTGAGCCACATCATTCAGGCCAGATTTTCCCCCAAAAGAAAGGAGGTGAATCATTTGGTTTTACATTAAGACATAAGTTTGAGATTATACATAAGCATATTAAAAATAATATAGATTTTGCTGCTATGCAGTTCTATTCTTTGATTACTTAATATAAAATTAGAGAATGTTGGGTATTGGTCAAGGTTCTCCAGAGAATCAGTCTGAATCAATAGTGACTTTTTTTAATTGGTTAATGCAGTTAAGGAAGCTGGCAAGTCCAAAATTGTCAGGCTAAAGACCAGAGAAGAACCAATGTTGCCGTTCAAGTCCAAAGGCCAGCAGGCTAAAGATTTGGAAAAGAACCAATGTTGTAGTTAAGTTCAGTCTCTGAGATCACCTGCTGGCGGAATGTCCTCTTGCTTGGGAGGGAAGTCAGTCCATTTGTTCTTTCCAGGCAATCAGCTGATTGGATGAGGCCCACCCACATCATGGAGGGCAATTTATTTTCCTCAAAAAGTCCACAAATATAAATATTATTCTAATCCAAAACATCCTACTGACCAATCCAAAATAATGTTTGACCACGGATCTGGGCACAGTTGACACACAAATTAGCTATTACAACCTATTTTAAGTTATTTAGATTGTCAACACGTACACACATACATACACATATACATGTCTACATATTTACACAGTTGTGATTAGAGCAACAAACAATGGAAAAAATAAAAATACTTTAATTCATGTGTTTTGTTCAGTATAGTACAAGAAAGAAGCTTAGTGGATTGTGGACCTCTAAGGAAGTAAAATTGTAAGTTAGCTGCCAAGTTGATTTTGATTAGGTGACACTGAGAAGCAATTCTATTATTAGGTAGTTACCTGATCAAACAAGCATGGAAAGGAGGTTTCTTGAGAGATTTTTGGAAACTTACATATCATAAAACTAATAAACAAACAAAATAAAACAACCTAGGTCTACATCAAATAATAATCTGGAAATCTAGTTAACTTCCACACAGCTGAGCAGGAAGTGGTGATTATTTGTTTGTTTGTTTTTTGGATAGAATTTAAGAAAACCCAGGGACCACATATTTGGCATCTATATGCAAAATCAGCTTACACCAGAGCAACTCTGAATTCACTGTTTAATGAAATTGATTGCATTGAGGTACCAATTATCTGGCTGACTCTATTTAATGGATTGTTTTCAAAATGGTACGTAAGTCGACATAACTAATTTTTTTTGGCGGGGGTGGGAAGCTCCAATATGGTTTAAGTCTGTAGCTAGTGTATAAATTCTAGGTAAGTCTTTGTATCTGAAAACTAAAGACATTTTAACATTTTTAAGAGCTGTAAACAAACATCAGTGACCTGGACAATATTAGGAAACAGAGAGGATCAGAGCCTACATTTTCCCCGACTCACTTCCTGAGACTCCACATGACGCCTAGAGCTGGGATGTTCATGCGTTCTACTGCAGCATCAGAACATACAGACTGTGGTGACTCTGAATTCTTCTGAAGTAGAAGGTGTTTGTTCTCAAATCTAAAGAAAAACATGTTGATTTGCCTTCTTCGCCTGATTGATTAAACAGCCCCACTATTTCAGTGAAAGTGACTGGGAATTATATTCCCACTACATTCAGGTTCCCCTAAGACTTTGCTGAAAATTTGAGGCTCACCAGTGTCACTCTTTTTATTACATAAATAAGATTCTGATAAGTTTTACTGCAGTTTTTAGACCCAGTCGACAAATATGCCAATAATCAGGCTGACCTTTTATTTTCTGTTTTTATTATTTTTTTTAAGAGGAAGAAAGAGAGAGAGATGGAAACATTGATGAAAGAGAAACATAGATTGGCTTCCTTCTGCATGTCACCTACTAGGGATTTAGCCCAGAACTGGGGTATGTGCCCTGACTAGGAATTGAAATGGTGATTCCTTGGTTGACACTCAAACACAGAACCACACCATCTGGGCAAGGCTGACCTTTTCTATGATCTCTTGGACACTCCACCCTTTAAAATTGCTGTAATGCTGATTTACATGGTTCCCAAGTGAATGATTCAATGTTAAATTAGTCCAAAGAAACAATTACGTTTTTCTGCAATGAGATTCATGAGAAACATGGTTCTAATCTTATATATTCCACTCAAAAACCTGATTTTAAAAAATTAACTGATGAAGAGGGGGAAAATAACATTTATTGGGATAAAGGCTTTCCTGTGCATGATACTAGATAGTTTATATATTTTATCTTATTGAATAACATAGCATTCTAATAAGAAAGATCATGCAGGACCCATTGTATAGATAAAAATTAAAGCTTAGATAGATTACATAGATACAGCTAACTAAGGTAAGTCTTAAATAGCAATTAGAACATCTAAACCTAAATCCTGGCTTCACCAATGCTAGATGCCACTTACCTCTTTGTGTCTTTATTTCCTCTTTTGGATTATGGGAACAATTAGATCTACTTAATGAGAGAAATACATAAGACAATACACAAAAGCACTTAGAATCATGCCTGATATGTAAGTAAACAAGCAATAAAAATTAGCTATTAATATTAGCTTGCCTAAAGTTACATAAAATGTATACTTTTATTTTTTATAAATATAGTTTTCTTGATTTCAGATTGGAAGGGAGCGGGAGAGATAGAAACATCAATAAAGAGAATCATTGATCGGCTACCTCCTGCATGCCCTCTATTGGGGATCAAGCCCACAACCCAGGCATGTGCCTTTGATTGGAATCAAACCCAGGACTCTCCAATCCAAAGGCCAATGCTCTGTCCACTGAGCCAAACGAGTTAGGGCACATGCTCTTTTCTTTATATCAAGATGTAATTCTTTATCCAGAACTCCAGAATTCTTTATCCAGAACTCAAAGCTCTGCATAATCTAGCCCTCTTCCTATTATTTCATCAACTCTCCTCAAGTATTCTTGATACCTTGCATCATGTATTGACTAATTTATCATATTCAGTTACTTAGCAAATACTGCTACCAGCTTTCTTTGGCCTTGTCAAGGTGGAGATATAAACAACATTGAGACACAGCCCCTTCATCATAGAGATTTAAATTCAGTAAGAAAGGTAAGTACCCACTGTATATATCCAGATAAATTACAGAGACTTAAATTCCAAATCATGTGTACATAGTAGATAGATGACTTATTCAGTCTGAGGGAGTCAGGAGAGTTAGGTAAGTCTCCATGAAGGAGGTGGCTTTAGATTTAGGTTTCAAAGAATGCATAAGAGTAATATATGCAATCATTATAATTATAACTTTTATAGTATTATAATACATTTTATACATATTGTATATTTATACTATTTTTATCATAATATATTTTTATTATTATAGTACAAACTTTTTAAGGGCAGGATTTACATGAGATTTGAATTTGCAACTTCAACAATACCCAGAACAGTGCTTGATATGCAGCAAGAATTTGATGACTAAATGGACATTTGAGGAGGGTGCCTGTAGGTGGTATTCCCAAGATTTTCCTCTTATTTTTGCTAGAGATGGAATGTTTGTTTCTCCTGCCCCCTACCCCCAATTCATATGTTCTAACCTAATCTCCAATGGAATGGTATTTGAAGGTGGGACCTCTGGGAAGTGGTTAGGTCATGAAA